TATTTGATCAAGAAAAGATTTTATTGCGCTTACTTTATTTAGTTTTAATTTTTTCCCCGCTACGTCAGATAAATCAACGAACAACGTTAACGTTGTTCGTTGTTCACCCAATCTGAAACTACCTGTCATCGATCATCTGAAACTACCTGTTTATTTTGTTTATAGTTATGCTTTTAAAACGTGTAACTATAAAAGTAAATAGATTAAAGTTGGCAAAATTTTAAAAAAAAACGAGTTTTATACTGAAAAACAAAATTAATGGATTGCACTAATTCATTGAGGAAAACGCCAATATTAATATAATAAATGCTGAGACTTTTATTAACTACAATAAAAATCAATTTCAGTAATAGTTATTAATTGAAGTAAAAAAAAAAGCTATGTACTAAAAAGCAAAATGAGGTCTGCGTCAACAAATTAAGGTTATCTGGAAAAAAGTCGCCATGGACAGAAGGCGTTGGAGGCTACGTGTGATTGAGGCAGTAAAGGCCTGTAAGGGGCTGTAGGGCTCATGAAGAAGAAACCACGTATTATTTTGATTTTAGATGAATAAATTTTGTTTATAGATTTCGATAAAAGTAAATAATTTAAAATCACCGGTAATTGAAATGAAAAAAAAATTAGTAAAAAATTAAAATTAGGAACCATGAACAATCACTACAAGTAGATACCGCTTAAATAATTTCATTAATCCTACTACTGGTATCGTAGCAATTGGTGTAACTTTACTAAAAATTCCGCAAAAGATTTCCGTAGTTTCAGAAAATATATTTCCAGTGATAGATAGCAAAGATGCTTTAATGAATTGGAATTAAAAGAACTTTTTTGTACCATTATTTATAAATATTTTAAACAGTATATTAAAAAGTGAATAGAGAAATGGCCATGCTCTAAATTTCCTATAAAAGTCTCTTAACAATTTTATATGATTTTAAAATTTCTGCTTTAGTTTGTAACCACTGATAAATACATTTCGCATTATATTCAAATTCTACTCAATGAAGGGGATTTCGTAGTGCTGTTCAGCGCTAATTTATTGGTTATTTTTGTTTTTTTTCACTCCGTACGACGAACGGGTTGTAATAAACAATATTCCCTATACATTGTAATTGAGATGAGTCTCAGAGTCAGTGATAGGTAGCAAGAACCAATCAACAAATACGTAGCGATAAAAAAAAATTACGACACTATCAATTACTGTATTGAATTTTGAACTTTGAAAATTGATGTGATTGATGGACGAGAAAAACAAAGTTATAAATTCATGTGTCCGAAATAAGAAAGATTAGAATGAAAAGAAAACTGATTAATGATAAATAATAAAAATTTTACATATTTACACTCTTGATGGACTTTAATAAGCTATTTTGATCTCCATTTTATTTTTTTCTCAAAGAAATTAAAATGTAGTGATTAGACATTTGATTAAATATTAAGTTTTATTGGTTTCGAAAACAATTTAGAGTAAGTATTAAATTTTGGTTTAATAAGTCTGCAAACGAAAATATAATTTTGTTTGACAAATCAAAACATTTTTAAATAGAATTTAAAAAAAATAAAATAAAATAAAGATAGAATATTTTCCGTTTAACCATAAGAATTTTACTTTAGAGCAGGAGAATGCGAATAGCAATATTTCAACACAAAATATAACTAATACAAATCCGCTTCCAGAATTGCGTTTCGTTAAACTGGTTTCATTTCAATTTGAATTTTAATGCTATTTATGAATATATAAAATAAGTCATTAAAATAATCATTGAATATGTTTTGTAATTTGAAGCATCGATTTGATATAAGTATAATATTGCTACTATTATATATGAACTATTTAGTTTTCTTACTTTTCTCATTCTCGCCATCAATTTTGTTATATTTGAAGCTAAGTGTTTTCAAAAAAATTATTATAACAACACTTAGATATGATATAGATTTACAGATACTTAGTCTTTTATGATATATATAGAATTACATTCTTATGTTATAATATAGATTTAAAGTTACTTAGTTTTAGTTATTCGTTAATTTTGTTACATTTGAAGCTAATTTTTTTTTAATTACCATAGGAACACTTAGACGTAATATAGGTTTAAATTTACTTATAGTTACCACGAACCAATTTTTTATTTCCTTATTTAAGTACAACATGGAATGTTTATTAGCAATTAGCTCACCCAACTACATGAAATTGTTACAAGCAATTTCTACGCACACTTTTTATTGTTTTTAAAAAATAGAAAATATTTTTCTTTGTTCATAAAAAGGTATAAAATAAGTAAATTTCGCCAGTAGCGAAGTATTATACAAATAAAGGTACACAACCGTCTATATATATATTTCTCTTATTGCGACAAAAAAAGCCTCATTACAACTCCCCGAATGGCAACGCTAGAAAATCGACCAATGATTGCCGCTAAAAATGTCACATGCCAAATCTAGCTGAGGTGGCTCAACATATAGCGCTTTTAAAAACGGAAACTGAAATAACCAGAGAGAGCATAAGCTAGGCAGAAGTGAGTAGTCTTTGTCGATAGATCTCTATTTTAGTATTTGGTCGAAAGCGCTTTTTTTCACGAATTTATATATTACGAATTTATTTGACGATTTTTGATTTATATCACGGATTTATTTGTTTCACTAGAATTTATTTGTTTATGCAAGTTTTTCCATTGCAATTCACTTATTTCAATTTTTAATAGACTTAATTTTAGCCAAAATTTTAACCTTTTTAAAGAGTTATCAGTTTTAGAAATTTTATCTTAAGATTTTATACTATAGCACATTTCTAATAGGTTAAAGGTATTACATGTGATCAAAGTAAAACTTCATAATTTTTTCTTGTATTTGTGAAAAACAATGACAACAGTCGAAACGGTAAGATTACTTTTTGTTGCTATATTAAATTAACAAAAGATTAAGATAGACTAGGTGTGAAATTAATAGCCATAATTTTTCAGCTGTTATTGGAATAAATTTCCAGTTTTATATACTAGATTTTAACGTATATGAAATTAATCGGATCGAAAATTACCGGATATGAAATTGGTTTGTAGTAATAAGATGAAAAAAAAAATTTCCTTCATTCTCACAGAAACCTGTTTATATAATTTAAATGTTTCACTTAATTTTTTTTTCTCTTTAAAATTTTATTACAATGCTGATTTTAGTAGTCGTGTTGATTTAATAAGAGTTACGCCCTTCAAAGAATTCCTTGTTAAAAATACACTAAAACAAACACGAAAACTATTTCGGCAAAAAAAAGTTTTTTAGGAAATAGGATCCAAATTATAATTGTAGTACTGTTCTTTTCGTTTATAACATTTTTAAAGCTTTTAATGATAGATATTTTAATTCTTTTCTGAGGAAACTTTATCAAATTAAGTTGGATAGAATTGAATTTTAATGCTATTTCTTGAAAGAACAGTGAAATTAATAGTTACATTTTAATGCAACATTAAACAAGAACATTGAAAAAAAAATATTAGAATCTGTTGCTTAGTAATTAAAGTTTTATCAGCTTCTGTTTAAAATAAATTGTTCAATAATAGTTTTTTTCGGCATTATAAATTTATTAATTTACTAACAAAGATAAATTAATCTTCAAAAATCAAAACTACAATTGTTATAAACTATTTGTTAAAATAATTGTTTATAGTTGCTAAATATTTTTAAAGTGATATAATAAGTGCATATAAATAGCAAAAATTTAGGAAAAAAATGCATAAAAGTCTTAGAGCTGCATGTAATAAAAATCACATTCTCCTTTTTTAAGGAGACTTTTACAATCTCAGCTTTGAACAATAATTTTGCCTATCAGTTGTTATCTATATATTTCTCTTACACGGCGGCAAAAAAGGCCTCATTACAACTCCCCGAATGGCAACGCTAGAAAATCGACCAATGATTGCCACTAAAAATGTCACATGCCAAATCTAGCTGAGGTGGCTCAATATATAGCTCATTTAGAAACGGAAATTGAAATAACCTGAGAGAGCAATTCAGCTGCGGCAATCTCATACTATTAAGCTAGGCAGAAGTGAGTAGTCTTTGTCGACAGATTACTATTTTAGTATTTTGTCGAAAGCGCTTTTTTTCACGAATTTATATATTACGAATTTATTTGACGATTTTTGATTTATATCACGAATTCATTTGATCCGGAAATAGTCATTAATTTGAATTCAAATTTATTTTAATAACTTAGCATTTACTAAAAAGATGCATTTTTTAAAAAAAAAAAATTTGTTATATGGATTTGAATGATTGTTTTGAACTCTTAGAATTTTGCGCATTTGCAATGTAAAGTTAGTAGCGAGTGAAGCGAGCTTGGTTTGCGAAGTAAACCATATAAGATTGCGTAGCAATTTTCGGGGGTTGGCGAGCGTTAGCGAGCAGGGGCGCAGCCCACTAGTATTAAGAAAGTTTGCTAAAGTTAATTAGTTATTTATTAAACATTAAATTTTGTGTTCATTATAAATACATTTTAAAATTCTCTTATTAAAAAAAATTCTCCACATTTCATCTTACTAAATATTCTTGTAAAATGTCCAAAATAATGAAAAGCCTCTTTTCGAATTTTGTATGAAATACAAGTTTAAAGTTAAGTTAAAGTTAGTTTGTAGCTACATTTCTTAATAAATGCGTAATAAATTTTCTTAATAAATTTTTGTTTCATAACATGCTCTGGAAAAAATGAATTTTATGGTAAGAACGTATCGCAGTTAGCAACCTAAGTGCTGATATTTTTTACCGTAATTTTATCTGGAATTCTTTACAAAATGCAAAAAGATGAAAGTTTCAATCTACGGGTTACGTATGCTGAAGCATTTTAAAATGTAAAATAAAGTTAAAGTTTGAAAATTACCGTAATATATTGTGTTAAAAAATGTTTTAATTGCATTGGCGAGTATTTGAAGAGAGGATTTCGCGAGTGTATTTGGTGATGGTATTTGGCACAAAAAAGTTATTCAATATTTTTTAATATAACTGATTTCTTTCAGCCAATCACATGCCGAGCTGCAGTGCTATGGGAAATAGGAAAACCCTACTCCATTGAAACAGTTGAAGTAGCTGCTCCTAAGAAAGGAGAAGTTCGAGTGAAGGTATGTTTTCCTCGTTAGTATTTATTTAGCTATATTAGAGCTATATCATTCAATATAACTAATTTAGACAGAACTATAGTTATTTTCAAACAGCAAAAATTATTTAATTGAACTTTTTGTAACTAAATGTTAATACTTTTAAAAAATGAAGCATTCCTGATCTCCATATTTAGCAGCATTTCTTTTCCTGTCCTTAATTTAATATTTAAGTATCTTACTTTAAACCGTAATTTAATTGGAAATATAGCATTTGCTACTTAAAAACCCATCTCTGATTTATTACCAATAAAAACACATTACCCAAAATTTTAATAATCTTTGTCCATTCCTTAAGATATATGTGTTTTAATGGATTTCACTGTTTCAATTTTATATGTATTTCCAAATGTAGGAAAAGCGAAAGTAGTAAGAAATTCTGGATCAAATTACAGAACAAAAGTACCGGCTCTCAGGTTACTGGTACTTTTACCGGAACCGGTTAATGATAAAAATGGAATTTACGGAAAAATGGACATCATGGTTGATACACCCAAAGTGCCGGTACCCTATGTCGTAATTTGATACGGAATTTTTTGCAGTATAAATGGTTTTGACAACCAGAGCCAGCTCTGTAACCACCTTTCTTATAACGATACACTGTTTCAATTTTATATGTATCTCCAAATGTAGGAAAAGCGTAGGTAGTAAAAAAATTCCGGATCAAACTTCGGTATAATTACCGGCCCTTAGAGTGCTGGCACTTTTTACCAGAACACTTTACGTAACAAAAAATCTAATTCACCGTATTTTTTTTAAACTTTAATAATTACCGTGAAATCACTGAATCACTCTAATTCACTGTAAAAAAAATACTGTATAACATTTAATGACAAATAAGGAATTTACTTTAAAATGGACTTCCAACGTCCAATAGATGATACACCCAAAGTGTTGGTACTTTTTGTTAAAATTTGATTCGAATTTTTTTACAGTGTAAATAGTTTTGACAACTAGAGTCAGCTCTCTATAACCACCTTCCTTATCACAACTATATTAGTTTCCGGTTTTAACAACCTTCCTAATAACAAATACCTAAAACAAAAATGCAGCATTAACTTAAAGTTATGAGTAAAAATATGTTGCAGTAGGGGAATTGGTCAACAAAAGTTATCATAAGATTTTCTTCAGAAAACAGTTCAGGAATTTTAAGATGATTTGAAGAATTTTTCTTTTTCTGTAAAGTATCTTCGGATTTTTTGTAAACATTACCTTATTCATTTTGAAGAAGCAACATTTTTTAAAAGTCCTTGACCAACTTACCACCATCATGTTCTGATTGTTTGAGCAGTCCAATACCTTTTCGCAAATATAAATGGCTAATTTCTGCGTCATTCAAAAAAACCAGATTCAAAAGAAGTTTTGTTAAGCCCATAAGCATTTTCAAAATTCGTGCAGAAGATTTTCTACAAAATTTGAAGTGATAAATAAGCTAAAAACCTTCAGATTTTCTTCTGGGCCTTATTTTCAAAAATACCTTCTGATTATCTTGGTTGGGTATTCCAGAAAACGTCCGAAATGACATTACTTAGGTATTGTTTTCTACAACGGCAGTTTAATCACGAGTTGAGAAAGTAGCGCTTCCTTCCTTTGCCGACTATGCATTTCGGTAAATACTAATTTACTATCTTTCTCAAATATGCTATTATACTGCTTGCGACACGTGAAAAGTGTTAAAAAAAATTCCCAGTTCTAGACGAATCATAGGTTATAGTCTATTATTATTGGTCTAAATGTGAGGTTTCTGTGATGATGCGCCAGGGACTGTGAAGGGCATTAAGAACTCATCTGATACACGTATCAGTTATTCTGAAATGAAGCAAAAGGCTCTTTTGAATCACTTCATATAACATATATAAGTATTTCAATAATTATGAAAGTAGAGTATAAAAGCTGATTCTGTGGGTGAACCAAACGAGTTTAACTCACAAAAATAAACTATTTGGCCAAAAGTATCCGCACACCTGGCTTTTATGAAGGTGGAAGTATAATGGTGTGGGGGTGTTTCTCGTGGTTTGGCCTGTTAGCTCCTGTAGTTGGAAACATGAACTCTGAAATGTATGTGAGAATTCTGGTCAATACTGCACTTCCAACTCCATGGCAATATTTCGGCCCATTTCTCTTCCAGCAGGATAACTGTTCCATTCATACATCGGGCTTGCACTGGCGTGTTTTGAGGAAATGGGTGTTTAAAACCTGGCCTTCTCAGAGCCCACACCTAAAACTCATAGAACACCTTTAGGTCGAATTAGAAGGCAGATTACGTACCCTGCCAAATCGACCCTCCTAACTGCAAGTACTTGCTTCAACTGCGATGGAATCCTGGAAGTCAATTCCTATGGCCACCTATCAAGAACTGGTGGAATGTCTTTCCAGACATGTAAAAGCTGCCATAGATGCAAAAGGAGGACTAACATCATATTGATATGTACCTCGAAACGCCCTGATAGTATGTTTTCTCCTCATACTTCATGCATTTCACATTCAACGCATAAATATTAACATTTCTTCATCAATCAAAATAAACTTAGAAAAAGTATTGCAAAAAATAAAAAATTAGGAAGTGACAGGTTGAGACAAATTTTTAAAATTAATAAACATTAAGTCCGGACCCATTATGGGTCACAGATTAATAAATCTACGAACAGAATCACATAAAATCCTCCACTAAGGATCATCGCAGAATGAATTTTTCTGGTTGCTTGATGCCATTAACTTCACGCTGAATAAGTTTTGTTCTACGTTTCATACGAATGCAGTTAAGAAATATAGAGTATTCTTCGAATTCAGTAATTGAATGCAGAAAGACTGCAAAGCAATACTTTGAAATTTCTTCTTTTAGATGGCATCAGTTGGTATTTGTCATTCAGATCTTCACGCACAGAATGGAATGGCCAAAAAAATTCCATTTCCAACAATTTTAGGACATGAAGGTGCTGGATTTATAGAAAGTGTTGGAGAAGGTGTGGAACGTTTTAAGACAGGCAAGTATGAAACTACTCCGTAAACACTATTCTATAAAAAATAAAAATTCCATGCGTAATATAATTAAAAAGCTTTATGACTTATGTTTCTCACGACTGTAAAATGCAGACTATGGGATAAATTCTTAAATCTTATCTTTTAAACAAAACGCAAAGTCATAGGATTTTAAGTTTTTTAATTTTGCTTATAGGTGATTTAATTGTATTTACATTTATATCTTATTGCCGTGAGTGTGATTGGTGCATGAGTTCAAAAACCAATGCCTGCAGAAAAACTCCGGTAAGATATTCTTAATCTTTTTCCTTTAAATCAAAATCCAAGTAGATTTTATTCGAAAAGCAATATAATGTTTTATCTAAAAATCTTTTTACTATTTCACTGAAAAGTCACAAAAAGTTTGCTAATTAGTTTTATTTTCCTGTGATAGATAATACTTAAAAATGCTCAGCGAAAGTAGTTCAATCATCTGCTTTCAGATGGCGTTACAAAATTTTCACAAAATAACAGTCTACATTAAAAAAAAACTACAGCTAGTGAAACCAACGGGACTAATTCTTCAAATTATGTTGGTTTAATCTGAAGGATTAATAAAATCATTTGTAGTGAGAATGAATCAGAAGTGCTCTGCAAGTAACACTCTACATCAAAATGACCGTAATATGCAAAAATGATGAGACTAATTCTTTCAAATACGCTTTTTGAGTTCAATCTATAGTGAATTAAGACCAAAATATCTAAACCTATTAAAATTCCAAATAAAAAAATAAAAAAATAATGGAACATGTAAAATCATTATTGCTATATATCCCAGCAAAAACAAATCTGTAGGTC